TTGTCAGCTGACCCATGTGATTTTTGGTTTTCCCTCGTGGTTCTCTTCACCGGTTGTTTGCACGCTGATGAGTCTGCTGTAGCTGGGCCCGGGGTTTACATTACAGCTCCCATCATGCCAAGTTCCTAAAAAAATCCCCATTTATGATGGTGGCATTGGATTACACTTTTGTTTACCCATATGCTTTCACCTGCGTCACTCAGGAAAGCAGAACCGAGGGTTGTCTTGAGCAGGAAACACGAGCATATGTCACCAAGGGGAATTTCTGCTTGAGATTAATTGAAAGGTGATACTCCTACAGATCTATTTTATTTTATTTTTTTTTAACCAGCTGATATCAGAATGGCCTTTTCTACCCAAGGTCTGTTCATGGTGCTCCTGGTGAAATAAAGGAGAGCAAGGGCAGCACATCTGAAAGCACTGAGCTGCTCTGCTCTGCACCAGGAGCTCCAGCTGGAACACTGTGCAGCTGAGGGGCAGCTGACCATGGAGCTGGTCCCACTGCTGACATCCCCCCTGGGCTGTGCAGGCAGTGATAAAACCCCTTTTCCTGGAAGAAGCTACTGAAAAATGTGATGACGCAGATTGAAACTGATGCCAGTTTGGAGGTGAAGCATGAAGAGAAACTGTGAGCAGGTTTTATTTTTTGAAGGATCGTAGGCACAGGTTTGATGCCGTAGCCTGTGCATTTCTCCTCACAGGTTTCTTTAATCACTCTGTCTAGGAGGAAGAGCCTAATTAGTACATGATACTGTGCTGACCTTCTTACAGGGATCTGGATTTGTTCTCCCTGATTGTGTTTCTCTGCTGCCTTTTCTTGTCTGACTTGCAGTAAAGGGCCAAATAGCACCTCATCTGCTGTGCAAGTTGTTTGTGGCCAGCTTTGTAGTTCTTGGTTCCCTGGGCAGCTCTGTGCTGATGAGGCCCCAGGAATGGGCCAGTGTGCCCCTGTACATCCCAAATGCATCCCAGCCCCCAGTGGAGTGTGTCCGGGGTGCTGGTGCCTTAGAGCTGATGGGAGCGCTGTGTTTGGAGTTTTTGGTTCAGTTCCTGGGGTGCTCAGCTAATTGTGTCCATCTGTGCTACCAAGGGCGTGCCAAGAGGAGGGTTCTGTGATGTCTCTGTCAAACCAGAGCTAAGGATCGCTGTCCCTGTGGGATGACTGTTGTTCCTGTGGCTGTGCCCACAGATGCCATTCATGTGACTGTTGCCTGGACAGAGCGTCTGTGAAAACGTTTAAAGGACTTTGGATTTGGAAATACATAAATTCTGCTCTGGCCTTATGATGAATCTTTCATTTCCCTCAAAATTCCAGATTCAAAGTATGAATTATCCCCTTGGCTCTCTGCTCAAGCCTGAAGATCAGCTCAAGGCACAGAAGTGCCTTTGAAGAGCAACGTTCAAAGGCTGCAAGTTAAACCCTGGTAGCTGCTCATCATAGGATGCCCATCATTAGCAGCCCAGGAAGGGATGTTCAGGGCTGCAGTGGCTGTTTGTGGTGGGAGTTCCCACTGGGAGCCATTGCAAACTCCTAATTATCATGTTGTGTGATGATGACATGGGCTTCAGGAAAGGTCGGCTGCCTCGAGGTTATTTGCAGCCCCAGGATGGGCTCTGGCCTGGTGAGGAGGAGAGTGGTCTCTCTGTGCTATGAGATGAGGGACCTGGTTCTCATCAGGTGCTGGGGAGGGTGGGAACGTTGCAGGGACCAGTGCAACTGGAAAGGGCAGGGCTGTGTTCCTGCCTGGCTCTTGCCATGGCTGTTCCCATCTGGCTCTGCCACATAACCTGCCAGCTCCTGTCCTGCAGGGCAGTCCCGTTGCTGGCACAAAGTGTGGAAGAACTCCTACTGAAATCCTTACCTTTTGTTTAAAACAAAACCAACAAAAAAGCCCTCACATTGCTGCATTACTGCTGCTCTCATTTATTGCAGCATTTGTGCTCTGGATTGATTATTTATGCTGAGCCTTGCAGGCTGGCTGCTTCTGCTGGAAAGGATTCAATTTGGAGGTGACCTTGTCTTTACTAGCAGGTGAACCGTGTCAAGCTGTCCTGGAGCCACCCTGGGTGTGTGGGAGCTGGCCCAAAGGGCAGGTCACTTGGGGTTGCTCCTCAGGAGGGTGGACAGGCTCCTCTCCAGTGCAGGTCAGCACCAAACACCACCAGTGAGCAGAAGTGCTGGTTGTGTTCACAAGGCTGTCAGGTTTGGAAGCTCGATGGACTGGAGGGAAAGAATAAACCAGTGAAAACTTTTTTTTTCCCCCTTTCTTTCTCTTCTTAATCTTATTACTTCCCAGCAGCTGTTAACATTGTTTGTCTTAACACAGCAAAATCCCCTTGGAGCTGAGTGACAGCTGAAGGCCCTGCAAGCACAGCAAATGGTTTTCTGCTTTGGTATCGGCAGTGCCTTGAACTTGAACCAGATTATTATTGCTGCTTACAGAAATAGAAGGAAACTGCATTTCAAGGTCACTGGCAAAAGTATTTCATTGAGGTCTGTCTCGTTGGTTTAGCAGCTCTGAGAGATGTGAGCAGTGTTGAGTAAGTGTATTCCTGTCCCGTAGCGAACAGCAACTGAAAGCCAAAAAAAGAAGAGAAGAAGCCCTGTGTGGCCACGTTTGGGTTTCCAGCAGCCAAAGCATGACTGAGTTCTCAATGCAGCCTTGCCTGGCTGGAGCCTATTTAAATGCAGCCTTGCTGAGCTGGAGCCTATTTTAAAATCCTGAGCAGTGGTGCTGCCTGTTGCCTGGAAACCTCCTCCCAGCCTCGGGCACTTTCAGCCTAATCATAGCCATCGGCAGCCTTTATTTATTTCCCATCCAAAATGTCATCCCAGGCTTCTAGTTTGTGTTTTTGTTTGCTTGTTTTTGTTTATTATTTAAAATGAAAAGACACAGAGTGTAACCATCAAGCGGGGTGACTTTCTGTGGGAACAGCTCTCGGCTGTCACCGCATTGCAGTGGTGGGAACTGGCATTTTAAGCTCTGTATGGTGGTGGCTCAGAGGGACACGGGGAAGAGGAGAAGGGGGGGGCTGAGGGAACGGGCTGAGAGCCCAAGGAAGCCCCCTGAGCTCTGCTGGTGCCTGCAGTGGCTTCCTGTGCCTTGTGACAGCCTGTTCCTTCAGGGGAAAACCAGACCTGAACCAGCTCTGAGTCCCTTCCCAGCACACCAGTGTCCCCAGCTCCCCTTCCCTGTGTGACTGCACCATCCCATGCCAGATCCACAGCTCGGCACTGGGCTGCCTGCAGCAGCACAGACTCACTTTTCAGCTCCAGTGTTCTGGGGCCTGACCTTCAGCATCTCCATGTGCTGACAGACGAATGGAAGAAAGTTAAACCTGAAAGTTAAACCCCGTCTTAGGGGCCCTTTTTTATTTTTAATTCACCTAAACTCTCGGCCACCTTAAAACCTTAATTGCTGCCATCAGCTGCACAGGGAAACTGTAACTGATTGCTGTTTCTGCTTAGTGAGTGTGATGGATCCTGGTGGGATGAAACAGGTTGGGTCACAGGAGCCCAGCTATGATTCGGTTGTGTTTCTGTCGAGGAAGTCCCTTAGGAGTGCACTGGGCTGGAATCATCTGAAAATGGGTACCAGATGTAACCAGGACAGCCAGCAGGTTTCTGTGTGAGGCATAGGAGCTGCTTCAGCTGTTCACAGGTTGTTTTTGTGATTGAAATGGTTTATTTTACAAAGCTGAGAATATTTGTTCTACCAAGGGCAGAGCTAAAGAAGGCTTTGACTCGAGATGCAGTTGAACAAAGGTTTGTGTTTTGTTTAACAATCTTACTGCAGGCACAGAGCAATAGGCAAGGCTTATCACATCAGTGCTTTTATTTTCCTCTTGACTTAATTTAAAGTTTGACAGGCAGCTTAGGCTCTTCTCGGGGATGGTCCTGTCTCACAGACTTAGTGCTGAAACGTTAAGTTCCAATTGTCAGGAACAGACAGAAGAAGCAGAGCTAGGCCAAGGGCAGACATTTTTTCCATCCCCACGTTCTCTGTGTGCTGGTGATTAAGGAAAACAGTCATTTACCGAAGAAACTGTGGGGGTGAGTGAATGGTGCTCTGAAATCCTGCCTCCTTGCCTCTCCAGAGATGGGTGAGAATGCTTGAGGGGCTGCAGGGGCAGTGGGCTGGCCCCTGGGTTCAGACAGCCTTGCTTGGTTCTGCAGAGGTGGCAAATCTGGTGAAATATTTGTCCAAATCTAAACTTTCCCGTTTTTAACCACTGGAAACAGAAATGATCCTTCTGTCAGCTCCTTTTTGCTGGATTTTATAGCCGCTCTGCCCTGCCTTTTCTGTACAGCACAGGTCACAGAGTGGCTGTCTGCTCGGATTTTACTGCCTCAGTTCCTGAGCAAAGCTCCTACAGGTGATCTGGGGGAGGGAGGAGACAGAAGGGAGAACAAAGTGCACACGGGGGAGGCAGGAACAGGAACAGCAGAGGAACAGTGGAAAACTGTGCTCACAGATGGCAAAGCAAGAGGGTTCCTCGCCCTGCCTGCGGGACCAGCACCCCCAGTGCCTGAGCAAACAGACCACGCTGCTGGTGGTCACAGCAAAGGCAAAAAGATCAGTGCTTGGGGGAAATGTAGAGTCTGTCAAGTTGAATTCAGTGCTGGAAGGTTTAAGAAAATGGAATCAAGGAAGTTTAGGAGAAATGAGTGCTAAAACATACAGTGGTGGGGTGTCCTTTGCTGATCCCTCCCAGCTGCATGTAGTTGGACCTCACATTTGTGTTTTCTTTTCTTTGGAGCTGGATAGTTCTCCCAGTTCCCTACAAAGATCAGTGTTGTACACCCTCTCTCCTGTTGTTGGTGGCTGTTGGGGGGCCTTGCTGTGGTGTGCCAGAACACAAGCTCTGGAGGGCAGTGCTGGGGTTTGTGTGGGTGGCTGTGCAGTGCCCAGCAGGGTGGGTAACGCTGCTCTTGGGTCTCATCAGTCTCATTTGCCGTCTCAGTGCAGTTTGCTAATCTGGCTTCTTCTCCCTACCAGAATGAAGAGAAGAGGAACCTTTCCCTGGGGGGCCATGTGGGCTTCGACAGTCTGCCCGATCAGCTGGTCAGCAAGTCTGTCACCCAGGGCTTCAGCTTCAACATCCTCTGTGTGGGTGAGCACAGTCCTCGGCAAGCAGGCGTGGGCTGAGGCTGGGGCCAGGCTTTCTCGTGTGTCCTGCTGTGCCACAAGCCTTGGCAGTGACTTAAGCAAGTCAGAAATGCCAAACTCTCTTAAAATCACATTGAGTCAAACCAGGAGAATTTCCGTAATCAGCGAGGAATTGCTCATCCCTCCACTGCAGTAGCTGTGCAGTAGGAAGGATTAAGGAAAGACTGTATATGGCTTGTTAAATATTTCCATTTGCAAACTGGGGTGGCTGGCACGAGCAGCTCTTGGTGAATACGATGTCCAGTCAGATGCACCGTGGATTAGCTGAGAGCTGCTGGTGATAACTGGGTAATTTCTGAGTGTAAACCTGCACCCCAAATCTGGAATTAGAGGTTTGTATCTGAGCTGTGCCTGGTCAGTGCCTTCCCAGGTGGGTCAGAGGGCTTGAAGCATGGTCATCTCTATGCCAGGAAAGGGAGGGGGAGTGTTCCTGTTCTTACTGATTGTAGTGTGTTTATCTGGGAGATTGTGAGCAGATGCAAGGAGCTGACTTTAAAATAACCTCATTATATTCCTGGTTTTTAACTTTGGTGTTGATGCGATCTAGCAGGCAATCCTGTCTGGAGTACTAGAGACAAATTGCTTCCCGTGATGAGATGAGCATTATTTTTGATTTGGCTGGTTCTTGTATGGTGTATGAGGTCTGAAGTATGTGACCTGCCAGACCAGCAAAAATACAGCCAGAGACAGCAGCTCCTGTGGCTTTGTGCAGACTGTTCAATGGCAACCTGACAGCTTTGTGAAGGTGCCTGGGCCACACCCAAGCCACTTTTGCATATCCACACCACAAGTAAAGAGCATGGCTGGAATCACAGGCCTGAACTTCGTAGGCTTGTTCTTTAGCAGAAGGGTAACTGCAGCAGAGGGCAATATGGCTTTAATTAGTACCATTCTTGGGGATACCAGAATGGATACTCCTACATTCTCATCTGGCCTTTGGGTTTTTTTTGGACAAGAGAGAAAGAGCCCCACCCTGTTTGCCAGTTCCTACTCGCAGCAGTGCCCAGCTGAAGAGGAGAATGCAGCTGACATCAGTAGAGTTCTGCATAGATCTCCTCTCGGATTAATCTAGAGCACCAGCTGCCTTCATTTCCTTGCACAACTCTTAGCCACAGCTGGTAGGAAGCAGTGTGTGCCTCTGCCCTGAGCAACGGGAGGTGTTTATCCTCCTGTGAAGAGCAGAGCCTGTGGTGCTGGAAGAAGGGAAGAGTCCAAAGCCCTTGGCAGCAGGCATGGCATCTCCCTGGAACAGAACTTTGCTCCCACTCCTGTTCTCCCACCAGGGTACCTGCTGTGGGGCTCCTCAGCAGTGCCTGTCTCTGCTGAAGTGGTGGCAGCCTGGGAAATGAGCAGGGAGTAGCAGGTTGTCTCTGTGGGTCTTGCCTCTGTTCACTGCTGTGGCCAGTAATTGTGTGTGCAGGGAATGAGCAGTTTAAATGGGGTCCCTTGCAGGCCAATCTGGAAATTATCAGTCTGGGGTTTTTTTTACGAGAAGCAGAAGTTCAAAGCCTTTCTGGCTCACGAACAGCTTGTCAGCCAAATATTCTGGGATGGAGCTTTTTGTGATGCATCCCAGGCATCCTTCAATGGCTCCTAAAATTGTGCTCTCCAGAGCTTCTCTAGTGCAGAATCCCAAGCAAAGTCAGGGGATGTGGAGAGGGAAATGGTATGTTCTGCTGTGCTCTATGATACTCACTGGGAGATGAGGCCCAAGTGCTCTGTGTTGGCTTTGCATTAAGCATGGGAGGCCTTCAGGAAGGCAGATACCCGTGTGACAGTTCTGTGTGTGCCCACAAGTGACTTTCACAGCATGGTTTAGTTCTGCTCTCTAATTAACCTGCTTTGAGGTACCTGTGACAAACCCCTGCTGCAGTGAGCTGATGATTTGTCCTCCCTAGGTGAGACTGGCATTGGGAAATCCACCCTGATGAACACCCTGTTCAACACCACGTTTGAGACGGAGGAGGCGAGTCACTATGAGAGCGCGGTGCGGCTGCGGCCCCGCACCTACGACCTGCAGGAGAGCAACGTGCACCTCAAGCTCACCATCGTGGACGCCGTTGGCTTTGGGGACCAGATCAATAAGGATGAAAGGCAGGTCTCGTGCCATCTGCTCAGCCTTTCGGGGCCTGCCCGTGGTGCTTGCGCGGGGGCTGCCCGCGGGTCCGCGGCAGAGCTGCTGCTGGTGATGAGGAGTGCTGGCTCTGATTCTGGGGACGGAGCACGGAGGGGACTGGGGGGAGAGCCAAAAAGAGAGGTCGTAGGAGGTCTTTCCAGCAGGGAATAGTGTCTTCCAGTAGTGTGAGCAGTTAGCAAGCTGTCCTCAGTGCAGGGTCAGGAATTATCTGTTGTGGCATTGGTTGGTGTTTTCTGGACTTGTCTCATTTAATTACACAAACGTCTTGTTCAAGCCCCAGGTAAAGGCTTCTGGGACTCCAAGGTCTCTCCTTGTCATGTTGTATCGCTAAGCCAGATGGCTCAGCCCTGAGATGTGGGCAGAGTTTGGTCTGGGGAAGTAGTCATCTTCCCATGCTCCACTGTCCTTAGACTTTGCAGTGCAGCCTCAGGAATCTGCAGCAACCTTTGGATTATAAGGTCTGTGTGTAAACACCACACGTTTCCTGTTGATGGCTAAATGGTTTGAGTCTTATAACTCCACTTTAAGTGACACCATGGAATGTCTGGGAGAACTCCTTAAGCCCTTAACCTGTTGCAGTCCCTGGTTGCTAATGGGCTGGTTTTAGTTACAGGCCGATAGTGGAGTACATTGATACGCAGTTTGAAAACTATCTGCAAGAAGAGCTGAAGATCCGCCGGTCCCTGTTCAACTACCACGACACGAGGATCCACGTGTGCCTGTACTTCATCACCCCCACCGGGCACTCGCTCAAGTCCTTGGACCTGGTGACAATGAAGAAGCTGGATAGCAAGGTGAGGCATTGCAGACCACGGGCCCTCCTTCGGGGATGCTTCTCTTGGTGCTGATTGTCACGTGGAAGGTTTTGTTCCCTTCATGTTGGACTCCTCCCTGCATGGCAGCTGGGCCCCTTTTAGGACTCTGGTAAAGCTTTGTCTGCTGGTGCTTGCTGAGGTCCTGTGCTTGTTTTCTCATAGGCTCTTCTGAAAAATGTCAGGAAAAACCTGTTTTCAGGTTGGTTGTGTGAATTCTAGAGCATCCCTGACTGTAAGAATCTTACCCAGATTAGTTGGTATTTATAAAGCCATCAGCTGCAGCTGTATTAGCTGTGCAGGTGAGGAAGCTTTCCAGCTCTAGCAGCTGAACTGTGAAAACTGGAGCCACCTTTGCTGTCCTGACCTGTCAGCAGGGACAGAGGGGTGAGAGCCACCAAAACTGAAGATGTGCTGAGGTGGTGCTCAGTGCTGAGGAGAAGATTTGTGTGTGTTGGTGCACAGGGAGTGTGTGAGCTGTCACTGCTGGCAGTGCCAGGTGATCTGGATAGGAGATCCTAATGTCTTCTGAAAGTGTAGATAGGGTGAGGATTCTCAGGGTCATGGGAATCCTAGAAGTGGGTCATGAAAGGGTCTATCTGGGGGTTGTTTCTTTGTGTATAAGCTATTCTGCCTTGTGGGGCAGTGGGTTATTTAACTGGCTACTTGCTGATGTTCCTGCAGCTCAGAGCAAGTTTCTGACACACTTTTGGGTGTTCCAGCTGGTTTCCAGGGAGCTGCAGGAGGCTTCAAAGGTCACCAGTGGCAGCAGCATCTCTTGTTTCCTTCACAAGAATTTCCTGTCTTTCAGAGCAGTGTTTTGGCAGCAAGGTGGTTCCTTTCAGGTGGCAGGTGCTGATCACCCTACAGAGGGCAGGGCCTGGGGATCCCCTGGATTGCATGGAGGGAGCACTCTCTTCTCTGGCTGCTGTTCATGTGCAGCTCTGTTTGCTGGCAGGCAGAGTTCCCTCTGCTGCAGTCCCTGCTCCTTGCCCTCACTGCCTGGGGCTCAGGCCTGCTTTTCCTTGGCCCCAGCCCAGAGCAGGCACTGGCTTCCCATTGCAGTGGGCTGTTTGTAACTGTAGTGCCTGTTACACTGACTTCATCAGGAATCCGAAAACTTTCCCTTAATAAACTCTTGTCTCTTGGTGCAGTGCCAGCATTACATGTTCCCAGAAATATGTTTGGAGGAAAGCTTTTGCACGATTCCCCTTGGTGCTGGTGGTCCCACAATGCATTTCTCTTCTTTTCCTTCTGCATTCCCTACTTTTCACATCTCCCTGTGGCTGCCTCTAATGTGGTCCTTGGGTAGTACCAAAATAAATCCTTTGTACTTGTGCAGAGATGAAAACTTTGTGCACACGCAAGCTTTTTATGTTTCTAAACTTCCACTTAAATAGACCCCTCTGGAGTCATTTTATCCCTCTGCTCTCATCTCCCTTCTTGCCCCAGCCTGAGAACATGCTGGATTTCCTGCTGTGGTGGCCTCGCACAGGCAGGCAGGGGGAAGTGAATGAGCAAGTAGAGCCCGTTGATATTTTGGGGATTTGTGTTGCATTTCAGCACCAGTGTCACCCCAGGCCATTGGGGTGCTTTGCAGGCACTCCCTAAAGCCCCAGTGCACACCAAGCAGAGGTGCTGGGGCAGTGTGGGCAGCGGGGGTGTCAGCAGAGTCCAGGCAGTCGTGTCCCCTCTGGATGGGGACAGGGGGTGCTGACTGTGGCTGAGCAGAGGAGACATGCACTGCTGTGTGAGCACACCTGACCCCGGGCCTTCCTCCTGGGCAGCTTTTCGTGGCTGGTGGCCCCTGTTTTACAGCTGAAGAACAGAGCACATGGAGATGAGAGGTGTATTAGAGGCAATGCTTTGTTTGTGCTCTGCTGGCTCAGCCTCTGGGCCTGGTTTAACAGAGAGTTTGTAGGACCCTGGCTCCGTTCCACCTTTGCTTTAGCCCACCAGAGGCCTGGCATCAGGTGCTGGGCAGGCTCTTGAATCTGTGTGATGATTTCAATAACAAATCTTACTTTTAGTGTAAAATTTACAAAATCCCTTCCGGGTAAAGCTGTTTTGTAAACAAAATCTTCCATTGTACTGTAAAACAATATCTGTTTGGCTGAGCTCATGGCCAGCTGTTGTTTGGGATGTTTAGTTACAGGCAGAGAGCAGAAGCATCTTCAGAAGGGGTTGTAGGTAGATGGAACGTGCCTGGCTGGCTGCAGAGCCCAGCCCTGCTCCCTGGCAGTGCCTGTCCCCTCGCAGATCCCGCTGCAGAGTGAGGGGCACATGAGCCCTGAGCTGACCCTTTTCCTGCAGGAGATGTGGCTCCAAGCCTGCTCAGCTCTTTGCAGGCCAGCAGGCACCCAGCTGTGGTCATGGCCCCTTTACCCTGGTAATGAGGACATGGACCTGCTGAGCAGTGCAGTGAGCAGCAGACCTCGTTCTGGGGCTCGTGGTCCTTGGTAAAAGAGGCCAGGTCAGTGGCTGAGAAAAAGGAATTTAGCCTCTCACATAAATGTGCAATGAGCAAATTGAGACTATCTTCATTTGCAGCAAGTAAATGCTCTTGTGTTTCCTGAGTGCTAAACCAGAGACGGGGGTGGGGAACCCAAGGAGAATGGAAAAAACACTGAGCTACAAAGAGAACTTGAGCTGGGAAAGCGAGGCCATTTATTTTAATGGGCACCCATTGGAGACCAGCTGGCTGCTATGAATTTCAGCTCTGTAGGACAAAAAGCGTTGGCTGTGGGGAAATGTTAGATGGCAAATCAGACTCTCCCCTTACTTGTCTGAATTCTTGTGTCTCACTGCTCTGGATTTGGCTGCTGTTCACAGATGAGTTCTGTTGTTGTTTGTTTAGCAGTGGTTTGCAGTATCACACTTGGCTTTTCTGGGCACAGCAGCATTATCTGACAGAGGTTCCTGTGACAGATCCTGCCCTGCTGTAGCTCTCTCCAGCACAAGGCCATAGTGAGCCCCATCCCACCTGAAGGATGTGGGATGTGGCCCTCCTTGACTCTTGATCGTGGTGGGTACTGGGCAGAGGGGGACCTCCCCACCCTGCAGCTTGTGGGTGGCTTTGAAGCCTGGGATGAGGAAGCTGTGTGGGGTATGGTGACTGCTGGCTGATGTGAAACCAAAGCTGAGCAAGAACAGCATGAAAGCAGATCTCCTGTCTGCTGTGTGGCACCCTGCACCTTCCCTGGGTGGTCCATGTGACCCACGCGGCGTGCCCGAGGTGTGATCCTCTGCAAGAGGCCCAGGGAGTCCTTGGGGAGGATCTGCAGCTGCTGCCAGGGACCTGAGGAGCCCCTGCTCATTCTGCTTGAGCACAGGCAGGCTCCATCAGCTCAGTGCAGCGTTTCATGCTTGTGCTTGTCTTCTAAAGCAGCCTGTCAGCACAGCCAGAGTGGATGGGGACAGCAGGGATGTGACAGTTCCCCTGTCTCTGCCTCCCTGATGTGTGTAACAGAACACATCAGCAGAGCAGAGCCTTTGATCTGCTCCTGGAGTGGTTAGTGAGGGGTGTTTGGTGTATCTGAAGCCTTGTAGCCTAATGAGTGCTGCAAAACTCTTCCCTCTAGTGTTCAGCTGGGCTGAGCTGCAGCTCCTGAGCAAACAGAGCCCCGTGGTGCCTTTAGGGGATGTGAAGTGTAAATGTGAAGCAGCCAGTGGGGCAGGACCCAGGTCACCCCCACACGGCTGCTCACGGGGGGTTTGTCCTTCCCTCCTCCCTGCTGCTGCAGGTGAACATCATCCCCATCATTGCCAAAGCAGACACCATCTCCAAGAGCGAGCTGCACAAGTTCAAGATCAAGATCATGAGCGAGCTGGTCAGCAATGGAGTGCAGATCTACCAGTTCCCCACGGACGATGAGGCAGTGGCTGAGATCAACTCTGTGATGAATGTGAGTAATGCTGCCAGTCCCGGCGCTGCCAGAAGTTGGGACAAATTAAATTGCTGCACAAAAATGCATCTGAAGGGCAAGTGTCTTTGGGAATGTCCAGACACTGAATCTGTTGGAAAGTCGAGCTGTGGGTCTGACAGATGCCGAAGGCTGTTGCATACAGAATTAATTAAAATGTGGCTCATGTTTAATCTGGGGCTCTCTGGAGAAATGACTCTCTAGAATTTGTTTTACTGAATTTTTGAAAAATGCTTTCTTCAAAATCCATTCTGTCTGCTCTTAGGCTACTTTGCATATGAGGAAGGAGAAGTTTTGAATAAAAATTTGACAGTTAAGATTTGATTAGCCTTCTGACTTAAGGAGGCTAAGCAGAGAAAACTCAATTTAAAGTAAGGAAGAAAAATTGTTCGTTTCTATTTTGTCTTTTTTTGAAATTCAGAGATCAAATTCAGACCTGGCTGTAGCACATGCAAAACACTTTTGAGCTTCCTGTCTCCCAAATTAGAGCGCAGCTATTGCAGCAGAAACAGCTGAAATGTTTCCATGTTAATTTTAGAAATCAAAACCCCCTTTTTAATCAAAATTAACATTTTTCTGCATAGCTGTTTCTGATTAAATGCTTTGCCTTTTCTTTCACCCCCCCCCCCCCCCCTTTGTTGTATCCTGCACATGTCCCTTGCAGTGCCCACACACCCGAGCTGTGCCAGGAGCTGTGCCAGGGCCTGTCCTTGGTTGTGCTCTCGGCAAGGGGGGTGCCCCACTCCTGGCACGTGCAGAGCAACCTGATAAACGGATAAAAGAGAGCAGCAGTGACCACGGTGTTCCCACAGCATTTCCCCAGCTGCCTCAGCCCAGCCAGCAGTGCTGTGAGCTGAGCTGTGGCCCCACACTGCTCCCGGTGTAACATCCCATCCAGGGCAGCGACTGCTGCGAGGGGGGAGGACTCATGGAAGCACATCCTGTGCCTGGGGCAGGGGGATCTCAGGGTCAGGCTGATCTCTGGGGGTTGCCCCATGCTCTGAGTCCCTGCCTTGGCTGTGTTTCAGGCTCATCTGCCCTTTGCCGTGGTCGGGAGCACGGAGGAGGTGAAGGTTGGGAACAAGCTGGTGCGGGCTCGGCAGTACCCGTGGGGAGTGGTGCAAGGTGAGGGCAGCGAGCGGGTACCCCCCAGCCCCCCCTGTGCTCGTGTCACACAGCCCTGCCCAGCTCAGGCCCTGCCAGCCCCTCTGCTCTGCTGGACGGTGCAGATCCGCCCTGTGCACCCTTCTGTGGGTGGGCCAACCTTTCCTTTGAATTCCCTTTCCTACCAGCAGGCAGGAGGGTCGGTGGGAATCCCTCCAGCCAGGGGACTGTGCTGTGCCCTGAGCAGCACAACGGGCAGAGTTCCTTGGGATGGGAGTGTCTGCAGTCAATCTGTACATACCTTTGTGCTCCCCCACCGTGTCTGCAGTTTGCTGACTTGTCCCCTGGCTTCCCTCAGTGGAGAATGAGAGTCACTGTGACTTTGTGAAGCTGCGGGAGATGCTGATTCGAGTGAACATGGAGGATCTGCGGGAGCAGACCCACACCCGCCACTACGAGCTGTACAGGAGGTGCAAACTGGAGGAGATGGGCTTCAAGGACACAGATCCAGACAGCCAGCCCTTCAGGTGAGCAGCCTTCACATCCAGCATCAGTTTAGAGTGACAGCACCAAAAGTGGGAGTTTTGTAGGTGGTATCCACGGCACGGGGCTGGAAAATGGTAGCACTGGGTTTGAACTTTGCAGCTGACTTGGATGTTCCCTCCCCTGACTGTTTGTCTTACAGCAACACAGACAGGCATGCATTTCCCCATCCCTAACTCATCGCTCTCCAAAGAGTCTGGATTTCATTTGCTTTCTTCCCCAGCCTCCAAGAAACATATGAGACCAAAAGGAAAGAGTTCTTGGGCGAGCTCCAGAGGAAAGAGGAAGAAATGAGACAAATGTTTGTTAACAAAGTCAAGGAGACAGAGGCAGAGCTGAAGGAGAAGGAGAGAGAGGTGGGTGTGCCAGAAACCTGTGAGGAGCCCAAAACACAGCCAGCAGGGAATCTGGGGCTGGGCAATGTCTGAGTGCTGGAAGCACATGCAGCTGTTGAGGAACTCCCCAGCCAAGGCACAAACACACACATGTATCACTGGTTCAGGTGCCTCAGAAACCTCTTCCCTACCCTGTGCCATGTGCAGGGAACTTGGCTGCTGTCTGGTGAGAGAAAGGCAGTGGCAGATGTTTAGGGGAGCATCCATGTCAGGGAGACTTCCCCCCTGAGGCCCCTGGACAGCAGAGTAAAGGGGGCAGCTGGGACTGGGGAAGGATGAAATGGGCCATCCTCAGAACCAGTGAGGGACAAAAGAGGCCACGATGTCCCCAGCCTGGTGCAGGGCTGCAGGTGAGCTGAGATCCTCAGTGCACACTGCAGGGCTCACGCCTCCTCCTGCTCTGCTGAATTTATTGTGTCTCCCCTGCTTTTGGGGGTGCTGGGTGCCAGGCCCTGCCAGCACCCTGGGCTGGGGGAGTGGTGTGAGAGGTGTGAGAGGTGTGACAGGGGCTCTGGGGCAGGGGCAGCACAGCCCAGGGTGCTGCTGGAGGAGGTGCTGAGAGGGTCTGTCTCCCACCAGCTGCATGAGAAATTTGAGCACTTGAAAAGGATACACCAGGAGGAGAAGAGGAAGGTGGAGGAGAAGAGGAGGGAGCTGGAGGAAGAGATGAATGCCTTCAACAGGCGGAAAGTGGCGGTGGAAACCTTGCAGTCCCAGTCCTTGCAGGCTACCTCACAGCAGCCCCTGAAGAAGGACAAAGACAAGAAAAAGTAAGTGTCTGAACTGGAGTCTGCCACTGGGAAGCTGGAGGTCGGCTCAGATGCTTTAATGTTTGGTCAATTGCTTAGACAGCACATGGAAAAGGAGATTTTGGAATCCTAATTCCCACCCTTCTGACTCTTTGCTTAAAGAGTGCACTGCCCAGGAGAAGCCTGGGCAGCTGCAGGTGGGAGGGATTTGCAGTTTGGGGCCATTCTCTAAAGGCCAGTGGTTCTGTGGATTCACTCTTGCCTCTGGGACAGCCAGCTCAGGGGGTCCTGCAAGCTGTCTGCTCCTGGAGACAAGTGGGAAGGGGACTGGGAATAGTCTGCATCTTCTCCCCAGCAGAGAGGAGTGGGGACAACCCTGGCACAGCTGTAATGTCTCCTGGATGGAGTCCCCACCACTCACTGCCTTGCTGCAGTCCATGGGCTTGTGGCTCTCTCCAGAGAGCGTGCCTGCTGTATTTTTAGAGACAGAGCTGTAAAGAAGGAAACAGCAGCTTAGAGTGAAGATGCTTTGGAATTCATTAGGGCTCCATGTGAAATGGGGCTCCAAGACACAGTTCTGATTACAAGAAAATTCTTTTCCCCTAGAGGCAAAACTCTTATCTTAGCTTGCTGCAAGTTAATTGACACTACTGAAGCCAGCAGGAGTGAGGGCATGTAAATAATGCTGTTCAGCCACCTGCTTGTGTAATGATAGAGCAGGAGGAGGACAGATTTTAAAAGAAAAGGTGGAGGATGTGATCCTGCTTCCATTGAAGCCGATCTCTGAGGAACACTGGCTAGGGAGCAAAATGAGATGCACCATCATACAAGCTGGTAATTCTGCTATTCCAGCATTTTTTGGTACTTCCCCTTGCATGAAGGAGCTCAAGAGTCTGATCTGCATTCTGTCAAACCCAGAACAGACTGGTGACAAGGCTCTCTGAGCCTCTTAATGATAGCAGGAAAAAAAAAGACCACGGAGAGTAGCAACACTCGAGTTTGTGCTTGACAGCACAGCGTTTGGCTTCACGTTGCTGATGAGATCTTGTGCTCTGTCATTTCCCTGCTGTGAACTGCAGCACCAGAGGAGCTCCTTCTGTGTCCTGACATCCTAGTAATTTGTTTCTTCCTGTGTTAGATAACAGGGTAGATTATTTAAGTATTTCCTCGGAGTGTAAATGCGTTGGTGTTAAAACCACAACGCTCTCTTCTGCAGACCTCTCGACATGGTCTGGGCATGCTGGAAATGGGGGCTAGTCCAGCTGAGCTCACTTGTGAGTGAGAGCCTGACCCTGGGGCCCAGGGCAGCTCTGGGGAAGGTGAGCACGCTGAGCCACACGCTGTCACTTGTGCAGGGGGTGCCTTGGTGGGGATGGACTGTGCACGTGAGCCAGGAGACACTGCAGCTCCCCCTCAGCTCCCTCTGGCTGCAGCAGAAATGGGATCCCTGTGCTGTGCTGGGTTTAGCTCCCCTGCAGATGTGAGGGTGGGGATTGGAAAGGGGCCGTGGTCCGAGGCAGGTCCAGCTCGGTGGGTGCAGAGGTCCGAGGGGCACCCACAGCACTTGCTCTGCACGGTGGGGACCCTGCTCGGTGCTGGGGCTCTGCAGCTCCAGGGGAGGCTGGAGGAGGTGCATCACGGCAGGATGGCTTTGCATTGGGGTTTTTTTGCATACCTGTGAGCTGGTATGTGTTTTGGGGGTTTCTGCTCAAGTTAAATAACAGCATTTGTAATAAAACTTGCAAAGGAAGGTGCCTCCCCTTGGCTTTGCAGTGATGTGACTTCCCAGCCCTCCTCTTACCTGGGAAGCGTCGAAGTGAGCCTGGGGTGCTGTGAGCCCTGAGTGTGAGAGCACAGCCTGAGCCCCCCCTGCTCCAGGTGACACCCACAGACCCTGGGGAATGGAGAGGATCTGTGTGTTCCCAGGGAATCCCCACAGACCCTGGGGAATGGAGAGGATCTGTGTGTTCCCAGGGAATCCCCACAGACCCTGGGGAATGGAGAGGATCTGTGTGTTCCCAGGGAATCC